CACCGGGTTAGGAAGCCTGGCATGTCATTAAATGAATGTCTGATAGAAAAGCGTTGGTGTACAGTAGGCACACAAAGCCAAGTGTGAAGGTTTTACCTGGGAGTTCTGGAAAGATTCCATAGGGAGGTGATATTTGCATTGTTCTTTCCTGGCTCTTTACCACACCAACAGACATTTTCTTAGATGAGAAGGAATTATACAGGTGACAAGTTTTTTGCCCTTTGGAAAAGTTACAGATAATAGCCTTTAAAATAGATTAATAAACCCAAGTCCATTAAAAGGTGTTGTCATTTCCTGTTATTTTTAATGAGATCTGTGCTATATGCAGATTATAAGCAATTAATAAATCCTCATTTGAGGAAAGAGTGACTAAGAAATATCCTTTTGTTTTGGGGTGGGGGAGTTTTGTTTGATTGTTTTGGTCTATTGCCATGATTGGATTCTATTATGATCACTGAAATTGAGAGTGAGTTAAATAACTTTGAAATGGTGGTGAAAATAATAAAAAAGGAAACTGATTGAATAGTGACAGTATTAACAGCCCCCCTGAGGACAAATATGTGTGTGCCCGGGGACTGAACATGAAACCTCCTTACTTGCATAACAAAGCTTGTCCTTGGACCTGTATTTTTCTGCCTGTAATACAAGCACTAAACAAAAGCAAAGTAGGATGGGCTTCAGAAGCATAGTCCCAAAGACTCCCTGAAAGAGAGAAACTAATTGGCTCTCATTTTATTACTAAACTTCTTGAAAAGTCTATAATCTACACCCTCCATTTCCACTTTCTCTTTCATTACCTCTCTATCCTCGATTCTGTCTGCCCTCTTCTACTTGCACTGCTCTTTAACATGGTATTACTGGTAAGTCTCCCTCTCTCCATTCTAACAGTGCTTCCTCTCTGGACTACTCATTTATTTCATAAACTGTCTGCAAAGTAATAGGAATCAATTCTTTTGGGGTATTTGTATTTCCCTCTGCCTATGCCCTTTCTCCCCAAATGGACTGAAGCAAATATAGTTTTTATTATACTCAATTAGCACTGTAAAACTAAAACAACTAAAAATGTAAACATCTGGTTCCCCAGTACATGTGCCACAAGAAGAAAATTTCACAATGTGTTTTTTATATGCATATGTATATGTATATACACCATATCACG